GAGCAGGGAGCCCGATGTGGGACTCGATCCCGGGACCCCGGGATCATGACCTGAGCCGAAGGCAGACGCTTAACGACTGAGCCACCCAGGCGCCCGAACTTGACTGAATTTCTATTTCAAGTCCCCACTCCACCAGGCAGGCAGAAAACATTAACATGGGGCTTTCTTGAAGTTTCTTCCACACACACCCCCCCCCAGTTATGTCGTGCCAAGAGACTTGGGGAGGCTCCATACTGTTTCTGCAGCAAACACCCATGCAAGCATGGCTGAGGCCACCTGTCTCTGTCCGTCTGGTGGCCCTGCCCTGGGGTAAGGGAACCTTTCTTCAAAATAGTCCTGTTATGGATTTTCTGGCACAACCTACATACAGTCTTCCCCTTGCTGGGTAGCTTCCCCACACCCTGCCCTGCCCAATATACACACATGCACAGCAGGCAAGCAGGAAAACGGGGCTCAGGTTCTCGAGAACTCCCTCCCCTTCCCTCCTCTTGACAATAGGGCAGGATGCAGATGAAAGGGGACATGACTTTCCCTCCTAGGTTCCAGCTCTAACAGTTTGACTATAATTCAGTCCTCTCTTTTAGTGATTTTATGGTCTTCTAAGCTCCCCATGGACTCGGGCTTTGACACACCAATTGTCTGCTTTCCACTTGGGCCCAGTTTCACAGTCACCTGCCTGAAGTGGGGGAGGGTAGGAACTGGTGGAGAAGACATCTTCTCTGGTCTGTGCAGATACGCTTACTTTATTCTCCGTACTTGTTGCATAGGGTGGATGATACCATAATTTTTGTTTTTGTTTGTTTTTAATCAGCTCACTGTTGGTTGGGGTTATTGAAAGGGTTAATTTCTTGAAATATCACCCCACTCTGTTATGTCACCATTGTCATCCTGATGACCCCCTCTGCCATGGGCACTGACACACCTGGTTAGCCAGATAAAGACAGGGCACTGGAGCACCTGGGTGGCTCAGTCGATGAAGCCCCCGACTTTTGATTTCCACTCAGGTCACAATTTCAGGGTCCTGGGATCAAGCCCCACCTCAGGCGCCACTCTCAGCCTAGAATCTGCTGGTCTCCCTCTCATTCTGCCCCTCCCCCTGCTCGCGCGCGCGCGCGCACGCGATCTCTCTCTCTCAAATAAATAAATAAATCTTAAAAAAAAAAAAAAGAGGGGCGCC